AAGAGTACATCGCAAGCCTATAACTAGTTTTATTTACGACATATGTCCCATCGACAGATTGCACATCAGAAAGCAAATAAAAGTAGCGGGTTGCTGTGTAGCAGGGCAGAACGTCACGAATTAGCAAAAATGAATTTGAAAAAAGAAGAACTGCTGAAGTAAATCATCGTTTTGATCTTGTTTTCTACCGACCAGGTGGTTTTTTTTTGGTTTTTTCAGGCTTTGCTTTAGAAAAAAACTAGTGGACCAGTAATTAAAGGTGCTAGATTGCATTCGCGCGCTGGGACCACCACGCGGTTTCCCGCCATTTGAACATTTTTGAGTGCGCTTACGTTTCTTTATATATTAGATATATTAGATTTTAGCACGCTGAGACGATGAAAAATAGGAAAACGTGCTTGTGAAAAATAAGAAGAAGTGCTTCTAGACTACTGTGATCGCTGAGAAATAGAAAAAAAAGAGAATGAAGAGGGTTTTGGGTACAGAAACATTTGGCGAAGTAAAGTGAACAAAATTTCAAGGAGTTAGAGGAATGGGTAATCCAAGAAAAAAACGTTCTTTGTCCTCTTTCATTTTTTGCGTCTTTTTCTTTTACGCTTCGCTTTTACCTTGATGAAGTCTTCGCTTGGAATGACCTTGCGAACAACAATGAATCCAAGTTTTTGAGACAAATACGAGTTGAATGGTTGCTTTGTTTGCTGTGAATGGTGTTTGAACAGTTTTTAGGACGTTGTTTGATCAGTCTCCCTATTTGAGCAGCAGATTCCTAAAGCTATCTAGAAATTGATTTTTCTGGATTAGTGCGAAGTAATCTTAAAGGTTCTGGAGTTGCAGGAGCGTTCGTTGCTGGAGCCGCGCGGTTGCCCACATTTTCACCTTTTTGGAACAGACACAACGATTCTTCCTATATAGATACCGTTCTATGGTAAGAAAATGCGGTAGGTGGGGCAGAGGGAGAGGAGGGGGGGGGGACGAACTGGCTAGTCATAGCATATTGTCCAGAAAAAAAAACTCTGTGCAGGCATTTTTTACGGCACGCATTTTACCCCTCGCAGCTGCTTTTTTAGTTTGCTTGGGCATGCCTTTATCAAGTGGTTCGAGATTTTTGAGAGTGGAAGGGCGCTATTTCTGAATTGTGGGGCGTGGCGTTAGTTGTTTTCAAAAAATTGTCCGACGTTCATGAGCTGATCTGGCCAAAAAAATCGAGATTTTTGAAAAAAGAGCGTTGTAATAGTTGAGCCCCGAAATAGCACCATGCCAGTCAGTACTTCAAAAAATCTTCGTAAATTCAAATTATTTGTAAGCAGAAACAAGTCACTTGCGCTTTAACGAGTGTAAGATTTGTTATTTTCTCTTCTATTTCAACAAAAGAGAGGAAAAGTGGTAAAGGGTGGGGTTAGAAGACGCTGCTGCGCTCATTCCCGCACTACGCCACATGTCGTGGCAGGACCTATACTGGCCAATCATAGCCGGCAATCATAGAGCAGCTTGAGGGACATGTCTGTTGCAGCACTCAACGAAAAATTGACAGTCATCAGCTCAAAAAAAAATCACTAAGACGCGTCAATACCCCCCCCCCCCCCCTTCGTGGAACGTTTACAAATACGCATTGAACACGTTTCAACAGCATTGTTCAAGCGCCGACTCACCACGACGACGGCGACGACACACAGCCACATCCCAAGCCAACATCACAGGTGTTCTCCTTCTTTCTCCCCCCCCCCCCCCTCCTCCGTGATCTGTTCTGTCCCGTTCGTGCGTCCTATCCTATCCGTTGTTATCAGGCCCCCCCCTCCCAGTCTGTGGACAACGATATCATCGCAATCGATCTATTACGTACACTACGCATGGCCCAAAACACTCGACCACTAGTCCATAATTCGTCAGATATTATCGATATCTCTGTTCTCTGTACTTACGTCTTTTATCCTCTTTTTCTTTTGAACTCTGTCTGCTGCAGTTGAAAGGGTGTGCAATTTGTCCCCATTATGGTCATGCTTTTGGGAGAAAAACGGGCCATATGACTAGCACAAGGGAATTGATTAGCATCGGGAAACGTGTGGCTGATCTATGGAAATTTCTGGAAACGTTTCAGTTAGCATGCTCGAGCGTGTAATTTAGTACCCTTAGGGATGTTTCTTTTTTTTAATGCATTTTTATTAGCGGCAAATTGTTAAATCTATCTATTATGCTGTTTCTCAACACTTTATCTGCGTAAACAAGTCAGCACATCGTTTTTCAGAGTCGTTGAATTCTCATCATTGCCGGGGACTTTTCTACAATATGTGCTATAGATTTTTTCTTTATGCTGGGAATATTTCCACAGAAATGCTGTAAAAAGTGCAAAAAGAATAAAAAATGATTAGAGTTGTTTCAAATGGAAAAATCATGGACTTTCAAAAATTTCAGCCTCAGTTATGAAATTTATGAAGATTTTTTTTGATTTTTTTTTATAAAAACCAATCTGAAAATTGCAGAAAATTGTAATCATATCAGCAGTGCTACAGCGTCAAAAAATCATTCCATAGCAAAATGTATAGCGATTGAATTGTTGCGATTGTACAATAAAAAGTGAAAAGCTCCACTTTACAAGTTTTTGATTTAGAGGTCTCTTTACAACCACTTGTCTCACTGCAGACATTACTACATGGATGTGAAAGTGTTAGTTTGAAAAATTTTCGTCAATAGGGTTTACAGAAGAGTAGAAAAACAAATAGTACGAGCTCGTTTACTGAAGGAGGAACTAGACACTTGAATTCATGATGTTTGATGATTTACTTATGTTTACACATAGGCTAAGTCGTCTGGTTATCAGATAACCCTCTGTACACTGCTCCCGACAAATGTCATTTACCAATAAATTTGATTTTGTTCAATAATTTGCAGGTTTAATTTTTGCATAAAAATTTTTTCTTGAACTCTTGATAGTTGCCAATTGTTGAAGAAATTTTCCTTTCGCTTGCATTTATATTTTATAATTTTTTGTGCATTTTCAGCTTTAACGCTAATTTTTTCTCATAGTAAAATTAGTTAGAGAGATTTGCAAATGACTGACGACAAAGATCACATAATCTTATAGATCTTGGAAGACCTTGTTAAATTGCCTCTTCTATTGAATTTTCTCTCGCAAAAGCCATCCAATACGAAAGCAGCAAGGCTCTTATCAACTTTCAATTTGAAGTCAGCTCGGGATCGAAAGAGATAGACTTAGTAATTTAGTTGTTTTGTCTTAAGCTCAAGCATTTATGTCGCAAATACGAGTCCATAATTCATGCTTTTCTATCGATCTTGCTTTGTCGCTACGTGACTACTGAAAAATTCTTATTTACGTTGTTTTATAGTGAATAATTACATCTTTACTGCTTTGGTTTGGTTCAAAATCCACTCTTTTGTCAATAATGTCAGAAATCGTCATCCTGTGCATTCGTCAACTAATTTCTTACAGTATCTTGTAATCTGCAATTTCAGACCTAGCACATGGTCGTCATATGATTTATAAGGCATCTAACGACATTTTTACGGGAACAATGAGATTTCTGTTTTATTGTTCCATCGATCCATGTATTGTTTGTGTTTTTTTTTCACTGCTGCCTATCACTGATGTCTTAAGAATTGCAAAGAAAGTTGAGAACACCACTATTTTATCACTTCATCATTTCATCTCTCCGCTCATCTTAGTGAAAAATAGGATAATATCTGTCAAGATTTGCCAGCAGTTCCCTGTGGAGCAATTAATTCATGCTTCACTTGTTCTATAATGCTTCCTCAGAAGTCTTATTGAACACATTTCCATAGAGAGCAAATTATCGAAGGTAAAAAAACGCGTACACACAATGGCTCTTATTGCTAATCATGTTGTATAGGTTTTTTTCAAGGTCATGCAGCTATTTTGTTGTTTTATTTTTGGAAATTTGACTTCTGAAAGTATTTCGCATGCGGAAGCAAATGCTTATATTTTTTATCTATTCACTTATATATCTTTTTTTGCAAGGAAAAGCAGTTTTGAATAGACTAAAAACAGTACATAATCGGGTTTTGGCATGTCATCCAGTAGCATTTACGAAAAAGAACCAAATCCGTGATATCGAGTTTATGACGTCATAAATTTTCCTGGAACTTTTTTTTAGCTGTTGTCATAGTAGTTAAACCTTCAATCCGGCTTTGTTTATCACATGATGTGTCGATCTTGGGGATACAGGTGGAAAATAACTACCACATCTATTCTTATGTTTTTCATGCTGGCTTGAAAAACTTCAAAAAGTAAGTGTGAATACATTTTTATATTTTTCATGCTGGTTTTGAAAAACTTCAAAAAGTAAGTGTGAATACATTTTTATATTTTTCATGCTGGTTTTGAAAAACTTCAAAAAGTAAGTGTGAATAAACCTGGGAAACAACTTTATTTGAAGCGTCATTCAGTCGGCATTTAATGACCTCCAGCTCAAGCTTCTAAATTATACCTACATCTGTAGAAGTAGTGTGTTGAGTAGGCCGTAATAGAACTTGGTAATAAAAAAGTATCAGACATTCAATATTCGAAATTTCCTCGGAAAAAATCTTGTCAAAAGGAAATTGTCAGTTTATAAAATTCCAATCAATAATAATGGTTACTAGTAATGTAAGCTAGTAAGAAGACTTCTTTTGAACGAAAAGCAGTAAAAGCAGTGAGCAAGCGAAGCCGTCATCGATGCTGTAACAAAGCCTGACGAGTGGGATTGTTTCCGCTCTCTAAACGCGTGGGTTCGAACTTCCTACGCTAAATCTAATGTCTGGTCATCAGTGGATTTTCCATACATCTTCTGCAAATGCCCTTTATTCGATATTTCATATTTATCACTATCGAATTTGGACGAGTTTGCTCAGCTTTGTTGCATCAATCATGCTTCTTGATCGATTTTGTAGTAAATAGAAGCAGATGTCATTGTCATGGTGTTTTCAATGTCTACGCTGTCATTGCTTGAAAATTTCCGAGTTTTATTGTGTAATACGCTATTTTGCAGAATAAAATGGCCGTAGAAGTACAGCAAATCATCGAACTTATCCTCGCTATCTTCCTCCCGGTAAGCTTATTTCTATTCATTTTTTTTTCGAAAATTCGAGAAATTATTTTTGTTTTTAGCCCTTGGCCATCTTCATCCATGGTTCTGACTGTAATATACACGTCGCCGTCAATATTGTTCTCTGTTTCTTCTTCTACTTGCCAGCCATTATCCATGCTCTATGGTACTGCTTCTTCCGTGGATAAACAAACAAACCCGCACCAACATTCACATATACAGAGATCGTAAACGTAAACATTGTTAAATAAAAAAAACGGCAGCAACCACAACGATTACCCTGAATTCTAAAGCTCATTATTCGCACTCTAATCGATATAATCTCGGATTTTCTGAATGCACCGTCGCCAGATTACCTGCCAACACATTCGCCTGATGATTAATTGTTTTATATACGATTTGTAATAAATACGTACATATTATCATGTGTAGGTACTTGACGTGAAATCATGAAAAATAGAGTCCACAAAAATCTGCAAATCTGTAAGTACGCAATGAGATTTCTAAGAAAAAGTACAATCGCGTTACACAGGTAAAGTGTGCGGTTGCACACACCATCCATATTGCGCGTTAATCCGTTTTCGCCAGGCAAAGGAGCATAGATCATTTTGTATTTGTAATCATTTTGCACCTTTATCGCTGTCCTTTCCCCAGTTTTTTCTTTTTTAGAAACATTGCAAATTGGCTGAATTCCAGGACCTCACGCGTATTGTGGATAGTGTCTGCAGTCACGCATATTACTTTTGAATGACTTGTCATGTATTAGTAAATCATGGAACTGATCTTAATGCTTCAAAAATGACCATCCTTCCTTCTTCACAAAAGAATCCCTACCTAAATTCCACCTCAGAAAAAATCAAGTTCTATTTTTTCATTTCTCAAGGCCTGCTTTACAGCGCCACGTTCCATGATAGAAAAACAACGTGAGTCGCCACGCTGAATCAGACAAAAAGAGTTACAAAAACTTGTTTTTTCAATAGTTGTAGATTTGCCGCGGCCGTGTAGAACCTTGAGCGCTGTTTAACTGAATTGAGGGACAAAACAAAACACAACGCTTTGACAGATCCTGTCTCATTGAAAATGTCGTGTAAAAAACATAGCTTCTAGAACCTTTATCCAACAATAAGAATATGGCGCGAATTGCGGATTTGGGAAACGGATTTTTCTTGGCACCCCAAGTTTGAGGATCTCTTCAGCATCAGAGCTCTCTGTTCGACTGGAGCACGTTTATTAACATAGACGGGATTTTTCTTGTACACCGGGAAAAAGTGCTGGAGGAATTCTGAAATTGCTTCGTCATCAAGTGTTTGGAAAGTTTATGGTCTCAAGTTCTTCTCAAAATTTAGCGCTTTTGTGTTTCGTGCTTGTCTGCTCTGAATTCGCAACCAGCCACTCTTCCATTTCTGCCATCGGATTATTCTTAGAATTGAATGGGTGGGGTCATATTGAAGTGATTATGAAAATAACATTTGCTAGAGTACGGAAAGGAGAGGATTTTGAAGGCAGCGGCTTGGCAGGTTTTCAACTTCGGGATTTTGGCAGATTTGGGGCTATTCCGGCCCCCTGAATCACGACATGAACTCAGCGCGAAAATGGGGAAAACCCCGTCTTTTGAAACCCCCCTTGAGACGGGCGCGGACGAGTGAGCCGTTTCTCTGCCGTCAGAGACGCAGAGTAAGGAGGTAGGGAGCGATAGAACAATTGTGCCCTACGAAGCTACGAGTGACGGCGCGTTTTCTAGCGGAGAACATATTCGTCCGAACAAGGTGTTAGGGGAGCGAAAGGAGGAAGGGGAGCGGCGGTTGGGTTGCCTCCCTGGTATGCAGAGTTCACATTTTCGGCGCTGAGTTGCTGTTTTGGTTCACTTGAAGGGCCTCCTATCCATCTGTGTCAAAATCTGAGGTAGGTTCATTCTGCCGAGACGCTGCCTTTAACAAAGGTGCTGATTCTAAAAATGACCTTGTGGTCCCTGACTTCATGCGACTGGGTTACGGTATGTTTGGACTTGAAGGCTATCGTGGATCAACGTATATCTGTTTGTATTTTTACGAATTTCAAGTGACTTAACTAGTGCATTGAGCTTTAGGGTGATTATATGACGCAAACCTTATCCTAATTGTTCATTCAATGTGGTAAGGTTATGCTTTGAAATTGATTCATGTAAACGATAAGCAGTGGCAAAATAGCCGTCCCACCCGTGTATATTTCGGGGAAAAAGAATGTGGCTTGAAAATGTGAAAGAATTTCTGGAAGTAAACCTGACAGCGATTGTTCTTCGGTAGCTCTGTGTTTTCGTGATTTCGTTTATAAGTTATGAAGCGTTATGAGTATGCTTCGAAACGAGGTGTTGCCCTCATCCTGATCAAAATGAATGACCCTGAAATTTGCGTTTTCAATGTGTACCACTCTATTTATATAACTGACTTTTCTACTGGTAGATCTAAGCATGATCGTCTAAGCTATTCGAAGTTTTTCATATAATTGTTTACTCTCAGGGTGTATAAATTTGGTTTGATTAGATGTTAATCTATTGTATTGAGTCTCTGGGTCTAATGAGATTTTTCTGGACAACATAATGCAGAACAGAAATACAGCATTTTTGGGTACAACGAGAAATAGTACAAACATTTTAGCAACATTACATGAAAACTAAGAAATTGAAATTATTCCTGCTTTTAGAGATCTGCAATCTGCTGGATCAAATTAAAGTGCACGTACAGATCTCAGCATTGTAAGAGAACTGGGTCTGAAGATAAATTATTGCGTTTTCAACAAATACATACATCCTTTTTATATGACAACTTTTTCGGTCTCAAATATCCAGAAACTGTTCGTAGCCTTGGTTTCGTCAACTCTGAGATCTACTACTTAATGTTGTGGGGTTTATAGAAACACGGAGGACTTCTGACATTGAGTTAAAAAAACAAGTGATCCTGAGCGTCTCTATCGCGCGCGTACTCTCCAACCGTTATCTAGCTTTAATCAGGTCACGAAGCCCCGCCTTCCAGCCGCCAGGCCAGCTGAATCAGGGGTTAACTCCTATTTGCATTTTATAATATTTAAAGCCATGATTTAGTCGGAATACGCTCAGGACGTTTCATACTAGTCGAATTTTTAACTCGAAGTATGGCTATAGTATATGTACTGGGATATGGTAGATATAAAGCGAAAAGGTCTTTCTTCTAACAGCCCGTTGATTTTTATATTTGTTTCAAATTATAATTACAGCTATTCTAGCAAATATCGTTTCGTAAATTTGTAACTCCTTATCCCAAAATACCCGCATTACCCCATATGGCTGCCGTAATCTTACCGTCAAACCCAACGAATGGAACAAGAATCATTTCTGCGAAGAGCGTCCATGTACAGTACTCGCCGAGGTCCTGTGGGAACGTGGTCTGGTGAAGCTTCAAAAACCTGATACATTCATATGGATCGTAAGTTTGGCTTAAATAAATGATCTTTTCCAAAGTGGCAGTATTCGATGAAAAAGCACCATTGTGGCTGAAATATAAATCGAGCGTGATCCAGACTGTCCAGACTTTCTGGACATAAAAAGAAATTAATCATATACCAGATAAATGACTAGTTTTGAAACGAGAAACTAAGTAGAGAATTGAGAATTCACAGAAGTTGTAGGTCTTTAGCAGGTTGAGGTACCAAAAACTAATAACATGAGGTAAGCATGCCCCAAGCAACATTAGTAGGACAATGTCTAGTACTGCAATTTGTATGAGTTCCCGCAAAGCAGTGTGGAAGAAAAGGTCAATCGAGGTCAACATCTAGGGTATATATGTGGAAACCGGTTGAATCTGAGGAGCTTGCGGTCGCTTATTACTCTAAATCAAGGATATCGATATTCTTTTCATGAACGACGTCAATGGAGATCTCGCTACAGGAGTCTCAAAGGTTTCTTGTAAGAGAAAAGCAAATATCTATTGCAGAGGTAAGTGCTAATTATTCTGCAGTTAGTCCAAATTTGTAGTTTTTTTGCATTCCATGCAGAGACTTCTTGACATTCCTTTTCACTTCAAACAAATGATTTTTTTTGCCGATTTACGCATCCACATCCATCCGCATCCGCATCCATTTAAATGGCAGAAATCAAAATTCGTGACTGCGATATGCGATGAAGGAATTCTGAAAATTCTTTTTGTGAAGTGTGTATTTGTGAGTAGAAATCAAAGTTTTTGTTTCTTATTCATGAATATAAACTCTGTTTCTTCTCATGTTTCATGAAAATTGAAGCTTTGCCTTCACATTGTGAGAGAGTCATGAGATTAATTTATATTGCCGAGATATAATATACAGTACTTTTCCCTACCACTTACAGCTTCTCCGTCACTGTCAATCTCGACAGTCTAGCCACACTTTATAGCATCGTCGTTAAGACGGATACTTCGAGAAACTACGTAGGTCCTGGAGCAGAACAACACTTACGGAGCAGCAAGGCTCAAGAAAACCAAGCTCAAGAAACTGTACTGAGAAGCGCACCAAAGTCAAGCTGTGTCTCATTCGCTAGCATTCGATCTGTTTATCAACAAGTCTATTTGAGGTCGGCGATAGTTTAGTCTGTCCTTGGTAACCTTTGATTCAACTGGATGGGCGGCTGAAAGGCGGAACCCTGTGATCTAATTAAGGCCGGTCGCGACCGCGACGTACTCTGCGTCTCTCTTGCGCGCGTATCGATGATCATTCTCGATAACTAGGTCACGAGTCCCCGCCTTCCAGCCGCCAATCCGGTTGAATCAAAGGATACAGTAGTGAAGTTTTTCATAATGGCCCGTAGTAAACCCCCATCAGGGCAGCTCCCTTGAAGCGGACCGCAGGTGATTTCATCGCGCCTCAATCTAGCATCCGGGCGAGTTATTGATCTGGATGCGGATCGCTTCCTAGACATAATCAAGTGTGTTCTTGAAGTCGTGACCACTCGAGTCGGTTTGGTCAGAAGGATAAACGATTGGACTTACACGTGCGCGGCCGTGGTTCGACTCCGTCTAGCGATGCAACTTTTGCTGCATCGCCGGGCAATCTTTGATAGCGGCCAATATCGCAATCGATGATGACCGCTATCATTCGCCTAGCAAATGCACGGATTGAACAAAAACACACTTTGTGACGAAAATTTTACGGGAAAATGAAATGGTTGCAGCGTGTATTTGATGAAATAAACAAACGAGTTCTTGTTTTGGACAGCTCTGAAGAAAAATCAGTAAAGTTTATAAAAAGAGGAGAATTTGTTTTTTTGTTTTCCTCGCCAATCAGCTGTTCATCGATCCTCTCCTTTTCGGGCGCGGTTGTGCCGTTTTGCGCCAATTTTGTCTGCAGTGTTAGGCAAAGTGATGTGTATCTTAAGTTACTCAGGAGCAACTTACGGGAGTCTTCTCTGCGTCTTCTGTTTTCCATACTACTTTACTCCAACATCAGTTCATATCACATCAGTTCACGTAGCAGGAGTTGACTGCAGCAGGTGGACGGATGTTCAACTATTAGTTCACTCGCCATGCATATAGCATGGAAAGGTGGGCGGTTATTAGTTCACCTCACCTAAGCTCAACTGATGGGTTAAGTTTAGTTCACCTGAACTGATCGAGCTTTACTAAGGTCCAATGTGTTAGATTACTGCATGTTCATAAGGCGTTTGATAAGATGCAATTCTTTCTAGGCTCTGAAGGACTCGACGACTCCAACCTCAGCCCGAATAAAGATGGTTACCAACCTTGTCTCACTACTCGACAAGCAACTTCGAACTTGAGCTGTTTTCTACTCTATACGGAGATACGATCGTACGCTATTCTTATCCCATCTCTTGACAATCATTAGAATATCTGCCGACCTCTGTGGTTAGCTTATTTTTCTTGTTGATACCGTTGACAACCTTTCCCAGCGGGGAAACCCTTAAGCCGCTATCATCTCTGTTGCTGATTGTTAGCATACCTCGCGGCTCCCACTTCTTTGTAAGCACCCATTAAAATTGTATGATGCCCTTTTCTCGCATTGGAGGCGGGGCTTCTGCCCGCACTCTCTGCGCTCATCTGAGCGACCTGTGAATTATCATGTCAAGGGTCCTATATCATCAACCTAGAGCTCACCCTAGGAATAGCCTGTGGAGCATTCATAGGCTATGTTTCCATCCACTTTTTATGAGTATCTAATTACTTAGACTTGAGTGACATTTGTGCAGCGAGAGTCGACCTTTACGGCGGCTTCCCCTTCCAAACTTGTAGCCCATCTACAGCGATTCTGTCGAGTAGTGTCGATAATTATTAGAGTAATCAGATAATTATCGACTTGTTTTTAGTTATTGTTATAACTTGTACATATTAATCATAACTTTGTCCTTGGCAACCATTCCCAGCATGGAAGCCCTTAAGCCGCCAGGTCACCCTCCATCGCTACTTGATAGCATACTTGACCCGTGGAAAACGGACTAGGACGAAGAAGGATGTCACACGAAATGAATGCGAGCCTGTTTCTAAAATATTGAAATCAGACAACGTAGTTCCAGAGAAGTCATGCCGAAATCACTCTCCGGTCACTACTTCTCTCCCACGCTGAGCCGCTACATCTCCACCAAAGACGTGGTCGACATGTTCTATGCAATCATGGACAAAACCACGTCGCGGACAGACGTCTGGATCGCCTGGAAGACGCTGTACGTGTGATCAAAGCACAACTGGATAGGATGGAGAAAAATCAGCAACAGAAGGACCACCAACCGCTGCCATTCACTACAAGACCGAAGGTTGCCCGGATGTCGCTCCAACACGTTATTGCGACATCTGCCACGTGGAGGGACATCAAGCAGCGCAATGCCGCAGTAAAAGGAAGATGGATCCATCACATGCCCATCGTTACAAGAAAGAGAATGTGCAAAGACTGCCACGCAATACACGAGAAGCCAAAATATGTATTTTGTTACTGTTGTAATTTGCTGTAATGTATTGTGTGCGCCTGTTTAACGATTTTTTTTATTGCGCCTAATGGTTGCAATAAAAATATTTTGACCTACATTGTTGTCTCCACAGTATATTAGGTTGTCTCCACAGTATATTAGGTTGGTGCAAAAGTTTTGTCAGTTTTTTCAATCTATCGGCAAAAACGCTAAAATAAATATAAACAAATACTTCAAAATGTATCCGATGCAGATTTTCTTCCTCTTTCCAGTTGCCAAACTCCCTTTGTGTTTCGTTGCGAGAGTGACGAGATATTTGCTGGAAATTACTACCACTCGATTTACCATGTCCAACTTCCGCTAATTTTCAAAATTTTGCATGAGACTTTGGGAGAAGGCCTAATAACCAGCAGGTAGGGCAAACCTTCCGCCAACAGAAGAATTTTTTGTAACCCTACGGCTTGTCTTTCAGAATTTTTACGATTTTTTGAAGTGATTAAATTTTACATTCAGCCTATTTAATTTCGTAGAACATAAAATGTTAAACACTTCAGTCACCGTTCGATGTAACTTTTTCTCCTCCTTCTAACATTTGTCTTTTTTTGCCGAGACAGGCGAAATTTATGGGGAAAATCGCAGTATTTCTTAATTTCAGGAGTGCACACTGACGTAACCTATGTTTCAAAATCTTCATAATTTGAAGCGAAAATCGCTCATTTACTTAGTAATGGTAGCGTAGTAATAATCGAGTGTTGAAACTTCGGTGTAGGTTTTGCAGTGCTTGGTGCAATAACAGGTTGTGCCGTTTTCCCAAAACAGAGGACTTTTAGAAAATTACTTAGCAGAAATCTGAAAAAGCAGCTGGAAAAAGGAAAAAATTGCTTGCGTTGCCAAAAGATTTGCCCTATCTCGTGGTCATTAGGGGTCCTCCGAAAGTCTACAAAAATTTTGAAAATTAGTGAAAGTTGGACATGGTAAAAACGAATGGTTGCAATTTCCAGCAATTGTCTCGTCACTCTTGCAACGAAACACAATGGGAGTATAGCAGCTGGAAAGAGGAAGAAATTCGGCATCGGATACATTTTGAAGTATTAGTTTATCTTCATTCTAGCGAGTTTGCCGATGGATTGAAGAAACTGACAAAACTTTTGCACCGACCTAATATATTCGTAATCAGCATGCTCACTTACCCCCTCTCCTTAACCCCAAGAAAATTTCTGTAGAATTGACGGCCGATTCAGCATAGCTTACAATGCAAGTATGCCACTTAAAGTTGGTTTACATAACATGGCAAAGGTTTATTGCTTGCATAATTAAAGGTTGTCCCAAAAGCATGTACGCACTGTTTGTTCGTCAACTTCTCTTTTCCCACAAGATCTTTTGTTGAGCTCTATGCACCGTACTGTAGAGCTGTCTGATCTCAGATTTACAGTATGAAGCGAATCATCAACCCCTCTTGATCAATGTGGACTTGCTGAAAATTACAGCACATCGCACATGTGAGATAGGCCGCAAATCTATAAAGAAAACCTGCTAAGTTTTGTGGCAGTTAATCAGGCATGCTAACTTCACAAGACACCTTTTTATGAGTTTTTAAGCCTTCTAAAAGGTCTGATAACAATTTTTGAAAACACTGGAAATAGGTGTTCAGCAGTGGCGTACCCAGGATTCCGGCTCGGGGGGGGGGGGCGCGACAAAGAAATTTTTCTAAAGAAGGTGCGTGGCGTTAGCCACGCACTCCGAAAATTTTTTGGGGGTGCTTCTCAAAACTTTTGCGGGTCCCCGACCCCTAAAATCTAGAAAAAGGGGGCCCCGAAAAAATTTTTTTACAAAGCTAATTTGAATTTTTAAAAATTTTTAAAAATTATTTTAATTATTTACACAAATAAACAAGTCACTTGCACATTTTTATAACCCACATAGGTAACTTTCAAAAATTTCGCGACGCATTCTCGGGGGGGGGGGGCGCCCCCCCCCCCGCCCTCCCCCCTCGGTACGCCACTGGTGTTCAGGTATACTTGGCATTTCATGCAGGGTGTCCCAAAACATGCTCTCTTGGCATGTTACTAGCACTTTATCTATCATATGCCTAAAACAATCTCATTGATTTCACTGTTCAAAAGACAGCATCTATGTTAATCATGGCTGATGTATTAGCACAAAACAATGTTAAGTTTCCGAATAGTCTTGTTGCCTCGATATCCGTCTAGAATTGTTTACAGAATAAACGTTTTCTCAAAATTTGGTGGCACCAAATTTTCGTTTTTTACATGTCAAAGACAGTTCAGAGAACAATATTGAGTCCCGTTCCTATTCAGTAAGCACTTTCATTGCATTCTTTTCGTAGGCAGTACCATTTTTCGAAGTCTTTGTGAACAAGGAAATTTATAGCAAGCAAGGGCCTACAAGGAACAGTGACAAAAATCTCAAGACAGTTGAAGTGTCGCGATCACTGAGCCTAAAAACGATTGAAGTAAAAGGTGGACTTCTGTGTGAATATGTTGGCACAGGAAACAATTCTAAGTTTTCTCACCGATCAATTTTCCAAGATTTGTATAACGTTGATAACTTCAGAATAATTTCCTCATATTTGCAATATTTTCCACCATGTAATGTTATTTAAACACTTTTATAGTGTCTTGAAGTATTCCAAAATGAGATTGGCTAGCTTCGCCTGAATCACCTGGATCGAGAATCTAAAGGAACCCGACTTTACAGAGAGCAGAAGATCAACAATATCGTCATCATTGGAAGTCCCGATGTGGCTATAACTTAAACCTGTGAATGTATTCAAAGGCAAATGAATAAAAGTTTATAACTATTCCTCAAATCTCTCGATGAGCAATTACAAATTACCACATTATGAAACGTGAAAAAGGCCACAATATGTGATCACAAGTCTTTGACATGAAATTTGAAAATTGATAGATACATACTCTAATGAGAGATGTTGAATGACAGCGAGAAAAATTGTCAATGATGGGAATATTATACGCTAGAGATGAATTGAAAGGGATTTCTATATCACAATTATTTTGAAACAAATGCCTCTTGAACATAGGTTTGTGCTGGAGAGAACCACGATCCGTGGGCAGAGCCCACGCGTAAAGGAAAGAAAACTCGATTTGAACCCAGGATTGCGAATCGGTTTGTTTAGAACTGTGATCAACAAATATACCTTATAAGTTCGCGCGTATGATGAAATACTTTCCAGGACTTGTAGGGTAAACAGGGGAAGAATCACAATAAATTAAGAATTATTGAGATGTACCGCGTCACAAGGGTAAAAAACTGCTGTACAAGAGATAAAAAAAAGAGTGTGCAGAAACCGTGAAACAAAAAAAGTATGCTCAAAACATATGGACAACAACTGATTGAAAAGAAAAATTAGTAAATTATCACAGTATGTATTCACCAATGCATTTGCTTTCAAGAGCTTGTAGTATCCGTTCCGTCGTAGGTTTCCTGGAAGAAATGTCATCAGAAAACACAACACCTATTAAAGGACCACATTACTTTTGGTCGACGGTCCTCGGTCTCTGTATTTGATCCTTCCTCTAAAAGCTCATCCAGTACCGGTACTTTGACAGTCATATCTGCTACAAGGGCGTTCATATCTTCTGAACCTAGCGAGAATACATCGCCGTTTGACCCAATCGACAAATGCGACGTCTGTAAATATGTGCATTTTCATAAAGACTCAATCATTTTCCCTTTTAAATTTTTTCGCTGTAAAAAATGCCTAGACCAATTCGTTCTTATTGTTTAGCATAATAAATGCCACTGACTCATCCAATTTCTCGAAGTTACATGACTGACTGAGTCATATTACATGAATGACGCATGCTGAGGAATTTCTTGCAATTGCAATCAGTGACTACTTGTAAACTAAACAAAGGAAAAACCCCACAAATTTTCTTTCTGAGTCACTTCCGGTGTGGGCGTGAACACAAAGAACAGGACTAAATGTTTCGCACAAGAATCGAAAATTTTGCATGAGTTCTGATCGATTCATAATTTCCGAAAGTCATATGGATCACATCTGTGAATGACGGATAACTCACGCTCGTCAGAAATCATACGAAACCCTCGCAATGAAACAGTTGCTGGCAATAAGAGCATGGGAAGCATAGCTTATGACTCTTTTATAATAAAAAAAAATTGTGGATTTGAAGCATAAATTACTGCCAATGAGCATAAAACTGAGAAAGCATGTCTCCATAGCTACCTGCGGTTCCAAAAAAATACAGAGGTTCAGATTTTTTCCGAATTTTCTTGTCACTCGAAAAACAGAAATGCTGCCACTTACAGAATCATCGTCAACCTCGCAGACAGATGTGCCTCTAAGTTGATTCTGAGTCCATCCTTCTGCCTTCTGAAAAGACTGTGCATCAGCAACAAGAATTCTGTTTTCTGGACTTGAGCCATTGACTGATAAAATGAGAAAGCCCGAAAATAAAACAGCATACAGTAACATCAAATCGATCGTAGAAAATTTCAGAAAGAAACCGTATACACTAGTCATGCATGAAAAATCGTCAAAGTCTCATACCTTCAGCTCTAGTTGAGTTATCATTTGTCGGAGATCTTGTATAGATTGCATTGCTTCAGAATACTTTAGTCGTTCCATAATACACTGCTCATTCAATTCAGATTCACGCTGAGCACATCGTTGACGTTCGGAACGTAGAGAAGCTTCAAGCTCACGTCTCACCTTAACAATTTTACCACTTTTATTTCATACTTGAAAACAAGTACTAGTCCTTGAAAATTCACCTTCTGCACCGCTTCAATCTCCTCACGAATCCGCTTTATCTCCTCATCTTGCCTTCGAAGCTGATTAGTGCAAACATGGTTTTGGGTTTCTAGTTCCATAACCTGACAAGAACCATTCTTAGGCTGAGTAAACTTCATGGCCTTGAATATTTTGTACGTTATATACTTCAGAAAAACAAGGAAGGGCACTAAAACCGTGTACTTTGTGTCCGTAATCGAATTATCTAGTTACAGTAGGTTGAGTAAACAACTGATCTACAGATAGTACTTTTATAACAAAGTTCAAGGAATTCTGAGTAGATGAAGCGCCAAAAAATAAACGAGTCCTAACCTTTTGACGCATTTCCTTCAGCTCAGCCAAATTATCTACTTCCTTTATCCGAACTCCCATGAGTTGATCTTCCAGTTCTCTGATTGTAACACAACCATCATCACCATCCGATGAACCTCCGATAAACGAAGCTGTGATTTTCGCAAGTCGTGCACTAAAATTATAAAAACGATAAGTTGAAATATAAAATCCAATATACTGCAAAAAATATGGCACTAACCGTGCTGAATTGACACTAAGTGATGATGAATTATTTGATTCATTCGATGACGAGTCATTTTCGGCATTTGCTACGTTTGGTTCGAATGTTCTCATGTGAACATATTTCTGGAAAATAACAAAACAGTAATTAGGGGATTATAAGAAAATTCTTCGCATACCGCCCAGTGCTGTTCAAGTTCAGCTAACCGTTGGCGCATTTCCTTGACTGCAAGATTACTTTCAGCTTCACGCATTTTCACAGAGATCAGTTCTTCTTGTAGACCAGCAACACCTTCAAAAGGCTCATGCTCACGAAGCCGTTTGTTTGCTGCTTCTAGTTCCTGGAAAGAACAATATTATAAACAAATACAAAAAGTTTTGATCAAAGACAACAAAGACGGTTCATTTTTATGAAAAAGTAGAAGAAAGAAGCACGAGGAAAACTGCTTACAGAGATACGAATTTTGCATTCACGTATAGTGTTCTCATGATCCGCTTGACGATTATGACTCTCGATAAGTTCTTGCTGCAACGAATGAATATGTTCAATCATGCTTGTATCATCCACTTGTATGGCAGCATCCAAAACACCTCCTTGACGAGAACAGGACAGCTCCCTAGAAAGAATGATATGATTGTTGGGAGAAAACTTCGCTTGTTGAAAAAAATTTCGCGCACAGAATTAAGCAACAGATTTTTTTGTAGATTTATTTTTCTTGTGCATGCAATGATAAACACAGATTTACAATGAGATTAGTAATCCCTGCGCCTAATGTTTCCCTCATTTACTTGTCTAATGGAAACTGATTGAGAGCCCTAACTAATTACCCAAGCGATAGCTCAGTCTAATCGCAGCCTGATAGATCAACCCTAAACTTTCACCCACACCGTAGTCTTACCGTATGACGACTTTGATTGGCCCGATCAGTGTAAGGTGTGGGCGAATTGTAAGGCTAATTTCTTGGACTCCCAATAAGTAATTACATTGGAAGTTCAGATATTATTATTAAAGAACAACAATTTATTATTGTATTCGACTACAACCTTTGACCCCAAATTTATACGATCAATTCAAATATGTCTTCTTCCAGAGGCTACCGTACTTCACTCATTCGACAAAAACAGATATCTAAGTGCCCGATCTAGTACAAGGTACTTCAAGCTACCGCTTCACTGCACACATTACTGTCAACAAGCTGCTCAGCTCGCTTTCGAACAAACAAAAAAACTCGTTCAACTTTTTACCTGATGGTATCATAGGCCTGTTCAAGCTTTCGATGAGCATCTGAGTTAATGTCGCGGAGTTTGCTCAGCTCATGTGCGATATTGATAGAGTTCTCAGCTTCTTGTGCAAGATTTACCTGTACACAAAACTTGCATCAGAAAGTGAAAACACAACGCTACTTCCTTCTCGTCTTACCTGTCCCTTAACCAGTCTGTCAGCAAGAGCTGCAGATTCCGCTTCGAGATAGTCAATGCGTTTTCGCAACAAGCCATTTTCCGTTCGCAAACGCTAAAAGCACGCGATTAAGAGACAGAGTAAATAAGTTGTCACAAACATAAATGATTCGGAAAAGTGGCCCTACAGCCGCACATGCAAAAGAAGCTGATCTACCATGCTCTCATTGCAAAAACTTTGAAACTTTCTAAGTTTTTCTTTTTAAATGGACCACTAAAATTTGCTGAGTCCAAAATCAAGCTCAGAGACCTTTGAAGTTATCAATTAGTCACTATCTCAAACATGCGAACTGCTAAATGGGTGTGACGCGAGCGCCCGGTCAGCCAATCAATTTTCAGATAGATAGACTGTCTGGAATCGAGTTTCTCTTGACATTTTTGAAACAAAAAGCACATTTCTGGATTTCGCAGATCAAAATGGTTCAAGAGTCAAGAAATTGGAGTCGAAAATTTGCTAGGCTGAGCATTTTTTTATGATGCAAAATACCTACTGTTTCCTAGGAGCACGATAGAAAGACACACTTTTCTATAGATTTTCCCCAGTCACTAGAATCCTACTTTATTTAGAACTTTTTTTTTAGAGATTAAGTCCGAGTTGGTTTCACCAACTCTAAATTCCATCAGCAAGTCATCTGCTCCCAAACAGCTCCTGAAAATTTATTATTCAAGTTATAGCTTACTACTAGCATTTCTGCAAATGACAAATCACCTACAACATTATTTTTCTTCTAGAAAATGCTAGATCAATTACTCATATGCTTCTCTTTGTGTCTAGTCACCACAAAACAATGGCTGAACGTTAGCGTTTTCTGCAAAATTTGTCACAAAGTGACACACATGCATTTCACATCAACCGCTTTAGCATCTTTCATTTTCGTTGATGGATGAAAATGACCTGACATCATCAAATGCGTTCATATTCGCAAAAATGGCAAAAGCGCATGATGGATGGACAATATCAAACTGCACTTTCACTAGTTTCGTTATATATTGTACAAATGTTTTACAGAATATATATTACGCGTCTAGAATGCATGAGCTTCTAGCCATCCAAAGTTTTGAAATTTTGTCTTCGGTCTTCGAAAAAACCTTACTTCTCGCTTTAGAGTTACATTCAAACTAAATATATACATTCTAGTAAACTGGAAACAAGCAACAAAGAAATCTTTGCGCAATCTCAAGCCGCCTTGACTGATCCCCAGATAATCATTAGTAGCCAAAATCAAGAAAACTGAAATTGAACTGAACTGAACACAACACCGAAGCTTGAACCAGCTAGACTCGAATGACCATTTGATGAAAAGAATGATGCAAATTCTTAGTCTATTGTTCAGAGATAGCTATAGGAATCCAACAGTCTTAGAATGCATAGAACAAGGAGAAAAAAAGCAAACTCCAGACACAGAACTAACCTTTTTCTTAAATAGAAATGATGGATTTACTGTGTGATGAAAAATTGTTCACTGTTTACAATTTTTAATTCAAAGTTTTCATATTTACCGGCACCCGTTAGACTTTATGATATTACGAAATACCTTTTTCATAACTCTTTTTTCAAAATCTCTCTGAACAATCTGTTCAATGACTCATGACAGCAAAACCCACCACCACCCACATGTATTTCACGAACAATAGAACCATTCACCTCGCTTCACCCAAAGCCTTCACTAAACAGATTCGCGAGTCACCTTGCTAGGGGACGAAGTTAAATCCACACGGCACTCAACCGTAACACATAACATCGGTAATCTGCGCAAATTCGCTACGAACAAGGTCCTTTTGTGTTACGTTCGAACACAGGAGGCGATGTGTTAGTCGATAATTGCGGTACAAACTGGTTGTTTCGTCATGTGTGTGGAGGGGGGGGGGGGGGGAGGGGGGAAGTGCCGAAATCACAACATTTGTGCGCAAAATAGCTAGTAATGCACTAATCATTTCTTTATCACTAGGGAAATGTTCCGCGTGATTTTTGGGTTTGGTTGACGAACTGGGTAAGTCACTTCTATTCTACATGAGGAGGTAAATATGTAAGAGGAAAAAAAAGAGGTAGGAGAGGTAAAAATTCTAAGCAAAAAGCAATCAAAAATTTTTTAAAGCCAAAGCATTCCCACGAATTTTTTGAAAAGCTAAAGTTTCTAAATCCACACTTCTTGAGCAAAAAAGCAATTTTCAAGAATGACTAACATTCATAGAAAGTGTTCGATCAATGTGCGAAATAACCCATACCATTCAGTTCTTCACGAGAATTGCATGCTTCTGTGAACTTAAACTTTTCCCTATTCAATATAATGCGTTCTTTCCTCCCCCTTCTCCCTCTTCTCTCCAGCTTTCTCCCAATTTAACCAGAAGCAGTGGAACACATACTAGCCTGCTGAATAAGTGATGCCGGATTTGTATTTTTCAAAATTGAGAGTACTACAAAATTTTCAGAATCATCTCTTGTCGATGATCTCAAGTTCTAAAGATGATGCAAGTTTTTGGCTATCAGATACTAAGAATTCAGATGCTTGTTATTTGAAAAATTTACCTAGTACCCATTGAGTGTAAACAGATTTTTACAAAGATAACCCATCAGCAAACAACCACCAAACAAACACATTACCTTCTTAGTCCATATGAACTTCTTCCTTAGACGTTGTCTTGGATCGAGCATATCCGCAGCAGCAGCAGCAGCAAAGATTCGGACTTAGGCGCAAGAAAAAGAGAAGAAGAATGAGAAATAAATGATGGTCGCGGATAGACGTTACCAGCAGCGGGAAAGGAACAGGGGAGGGCGTGGTGGCAGCCGACGACGACCAGACCGCCCGCCACCTTCCACAACATGAGTGGCCATTCACGGAATACACTTCGTCTGTTGCTGTGTGTGTCTTTACCCAACCTTTTCCGCATGCGCGTATGAAACTTTTCCGCGCACACATTCCGCAAACCCCAACGAGACCTTGCACACATTTAATGCACATTTCAATGATGTTCGAAAGGTATCGGTGAGAAACAAGATCTTGTTCTCGTCAATGTTTGCTTTCACCTCAGCTATAAAGAAAGTTTGCGTTGTGCGGTAGAACGCGCACTCTATTTCGCTAACCCAGAGACGCACGACGATGTGCTAACTATCAATGAAGCTTGAACTCTGACTTCGTAACGGACAAGAAAACGAGAAAATCTGATATGTTCGGGGGATGTCAACAGATATGTCAGGCTAGTTCTAGTATCGCTGACAAACGGGAAGTGTTATGTTACATCGCAGTTTGTCCAGAGAAAAGTTCGCTCTCGTCACTCACTGGAAGTTGTTTTGATTTTTCCTACGATCGCGTCCATCAGTGCCACAATGCCCCGTGAAACATAAGATAAACATAGGAGACTCTCAGAATATTAACGCACTGGATTTTACCATCACAAAGTGTTCGATGTTACTTCGGACCGAGCTATTTTGAGATTGACTGACACATGTAAACACCAGATTGTGCCAAATGATTCACCGATTTATCAAAAGGCTGGGATAGCGCAAGCCAGACTATCAAAAACACAATCTAGATGTAACCATAAACCCGCAATTTTATGGAAATACGAGTGCCTCTAGGAAATCGTCAATTATTCACCTAGTGGCTGTTGAACCAAAGGTTTTCGAATAATTCAACTTCGCAGTTTACATGACTGAAACTCTATATAAAAATCAGGTTCACCCAATCAACAAAAAATTGTTCAAATCAATTCCAGCACTTCACCAAACTCTAAACAATAGGGGTCTTATTGTTTTGAATAACGCGAGCAGGGGACATGCGACAATTGCTCTCTTCCAACATCTGTTGCTGGCTATAAATCGCTTTCAGCACAAATAATCCTTGGAGACCTTTAACTGCATATTTTTATAGGTGTTTTTTCAATCTTAGTGACTCACAGCGGCATCGTAAAATATTGCGCGTACTGCTTCATGCATGCCTTCATATTTCAAAAGCTTACTAAAGTCCGCTCACAAGATTTCATTCAATTTGCATCTATATTTAGTATGCCGCCTATCAAAAAGACCCTACTATGTCCATTTGTGGAACCTAAGTTTGAGAGTTCGTCCGTTCTCTCAATAAAAAAACTGAAATTTCTCATCCTTGAACGCAATTCTATGACCTCACATAAAACACTGAGACAGTCCATTAGGAGTTCACACCTAGCAGATAAAACACATCGGTTTTGTCTTTGGTCTAATTCTCACAGATAATGGAACGAGATTCTCTCTTAACAAAAAGGATATGGATAAACCAGAGCAAATTACACACTAGGCCTTGTCACCGCATATGAGCAGGAGCTGATTGAAGAGAAGGAAAAGAAGCCCGTGATATAATTTTGTAAAAAAATATATTCGCAAAAATAGACAAACCCAGCCCAAAGCATATAAGCATGGAGTTATTCATAATTGTCTATCCAAAACAAAGAGTAGTAAATTTCTATTAGAAAAGAGTTCTTTCTTTTCCAACATATGCTCATCACTTCAATTCTTCTAATTTCTCAAATCAATAAATTTAAACTTCTCGACCCACATTTCCTGATGGGAAACAATGAAACTGGACTTCGCAAAAGTAGAAAAAGTATGAAAGATGACTCACACGTAGCTCCACCGCTTCTTCCTCTTCTCTCGTTCGCTTTGCGAGATAGTCCTTTTCAAGCCTAAACGATTTATTTGTTAACATGAAAAGGAAAAGCGCTGTTAGAAGGGCAGCCTATGAGTCATTGTAAAATCAAAAAAAATTTTCAGGATATATCCATTCACTGGGGACATATGGACAAATCAATCTGCGTCAGTTTGCTCAATATGTATGGCAGATTTTGCATTTTATTTTGTAGAACGACAAAGACGTGCATTCAAAACTTCGAGCATTTACGCGACATTAAACATACAAAAAAGACAAAGAAATTTGGCTTTGATTCGCATTAGTCATGTCAAATCGGAACTAATGCGTTGATGGTGATGATAAAGAGAAGAAAAAAATATGAGTGAAGAAATGGAGCTCGTTGATGACATTTTTGAAAAAGTCACTGCACCACTACACTCAAACGACTCGATACTTTGTACTTTCGCTTCTTTTTGTTGCTTGGCATGAAATGTTATGGTCTTTTCAAAAAAAAATTTTAGGCAAAATTTCGGTGTCATGAATAAGCAATGTATTCTGAAGTTATTCAAATAAACAGAAATTAGAGTTCAGATACTTGAACAAGAGTACGACGGTTGATGCGTCTTCTTACCGTAGCTATGTACTTCCCCAAACATATTTTCTCGACTACCAACGCCACCCCAGCCTTTTTCATCATCAAAAAACATCAAGACAATCGAGCAATTTCTGAATTTCTTTTTTAAATATTATTGGTTGATATTTTCCCCTAGGCCTGCTAAGTGGATGTCACCTCCAACCTCTTCTATTATCACTCAAAAAACATTCTGACAGATTTTTGAGTAATTCATTGAAAATTCTCATAATATACTATTGGGTGTAAAAGCAAATTTCGGTAGGTATTCAGCCAAACATACAAAAGTAAAAATGCGGGTGCCATATGTCTTACTTATGATGTCCGAAATTGCTTCAGAATTATTAAAAAGGCTCACATAAACTTTGTGGTATAAGACATGTGTAATATCCGTTTCGTAATAAATTTCACTATCCGCTCTGTACATAATAAATTTCATCATCCGTTCTGCACATAAGAAATTTCATAAGAGATGGTAAAACCGGAAGAGAAGATTTCGAAAATCGAAAATTCATATTCAGTATTCATATGGGCTTTCGATCAGCACAATTATCCCGTAGTTAAAAAGATCAAATTGGAGGATCAAAAATACAGAGTCAAGAGTGTACCTTATGGCATTCTTTTGCGACGAAATATTTGGAGAGAAAATACAGTTCGAGTTTAAGTTGTTGGCTTTTTTGCCGCGGTACGCCAACAATAATCCTTGCTTTGATCATTACTAGTAAATGCCTTATTTTCTCTTTCGATATTATCAAGTCGTACAGAAATAATCTAAAATGTTTTTTCTGCAAATCTTTAAAATTTTGATGAAGGTAGCAAACATGCAGTCCTTTGGTGAGATTTTTTTACATAACTCAATATCTTGTCTCCAAACCAATGCTAATGACCAGCCGCCATTCTCATCGTCATTAGCCGCTGGGTCATTTTACACAAATTGACCCGCGATCATCACCTTGCAACAGCGCCGCTTTATCTAGAGGTTCATATCCAGAATGTAGAGAAAAAAACAACTGGAAAAATTGCCCGTCTTCCCATGTAGAAGAAATGTAGTATGAACTGAACTTATACCAGTTTCCTCCACCTAACGCTAGATGACGTCCTAGCTCGCGAAATATGCTCAGAATGGTAGCCTACAAAAAGTTTGTTCAACCAAAACTGCTGCTATTCATTCTTTTCTAACTTTGACCTCAACACTAACCAAAAGCTATCGGACCCAAGAGAAAAAACCTTCGAGAAATTTCTCCGTAGTATAAATCATAACATCCTTTACTAGACCCGTCAACAGGAAGCTGTTAGAAAACTCGAGAGAATGCTGAATTGGCAAAACAGGCTGTCCTAAAAAATGTGCCTACCGTTTGATTGTTAATGATTCTCTCGTCATCGTCTTTTGAAAAGATCTAGGTACCATTTGTAGAGCTGGCTTCAACTTAGATACGGTATGGTGCGATTTAAGAATCAATCGAGAAGATTGAGTTATTGAGGATAATATTTTACTTAAAAAAAAAGACCAAAGAAGCTGGAAACTGCTACCCTAGGTTCATCAAAGTCTCTGGTTCCAAAAATGAAAATCGCACTTCATTGTAGCGTTTCTTCCATAAGTTGCGCCACATATACCACAGCAACCAGTTTCTGATTCGTCAAAAATTTGATCAGGCCTTTAAAAGTTCTGCAAGCGCACGAAAATGTCTGCGCTAAAATCAGCACGTCTGATGAAAACCGTGTTACACAATTTTCCAGATTTTTCGGAGACTCTTTTCCAAACGGCCTTCCCCATAGTGGCGCCATATGCTGCAAGTTCCTACCGTACTCTTACAGTAATCAAAAGAGACTTGATCCGCTCCATACTATTCGAGTTGCAGCCAGCTCTACAAAATGGCCCCAGAGTTCCTAGAAATACTTCATGACAAGGGAGTTGTAAACAAACAAACATTAGACTTAATTTTTTCAGACAATCTGCAGCATCCATTATTTGCAAGCAGTGAAAGTTAACACTTCATTTAATAAACATTCTGATTCCTGCCACTTTCAACAAGAAACTCTACTTTGGATGAGACGACCCCAGTGATTGCTGTGCGAGATAGCGTTCCTTAAAAATCGAGATCACGAACATTTGGGTGAAAATTGAAGGTGGAGGTTGAAAAATTCCTTGATTCCTGTTTTCAGATACCAAATTACAGAACAGACCAAGAGGTTAGAACCGTGGATTTTTGAAGAATAAAGGGTATTTTCGCTTGCTGATCATGTGATATGTAATTTTGATTTTAGGCTATATTGAGATTAAATGCGAAAACATGATAATGAAGTGATTTTCGACTACCTATAGGATAGGATCGTAAGAAGTTTGATTGAGTTCTGCACATTACACTCTCATTTGAAGGTGCAAAAACGTTTGGACTGAAATCAACAGATACGATGGAAATAGCGACGCTTCTGATCAGTTTGAACATAGCTAACATCCTGCTTGTAAAATTTTACAAAAAGCATATCTTTACCAAAAAATCTAAGCGGTTTCTGTTCTTATCGACACCACCGAAGCTTACGCCACAAGGGTCTCGATACTAGATCAAATGAGTGTAGCGTGCCAATTTCTAGACACTCGATAAAATTAAATTTGGACCTACTACCAACTGACAAAGGGCTTCAGCAAACATGCAATCGTAATGATTCTGTCATGCACTTCAGTACTAATCAACCTGTGATCTGCAGAAAAAAAGCAAATCTTTTGGGAAAAAAGGCTGCGAATTATCATTACCCATTTTCTTGAAAATAAGCGCAGAAATGCTTTTCTGTTTGAAAAAGGTTAGGATGATGTCAGGGTAAGGAGCAGTGGATTGTGCAGTACACAAGTAGAGACAAAATTCAACATCAAAGCAGACAACAATCACATCATTAAGAGTAAATTAGCTACTAAATTCCAAAACTCACTTTCGCATTCTTCTTGCGTTTAGATGCACTTTGTTTGCAACAGCAATCAGTAAGTCAGCATCATTCTCGAAGCGTTCACGCATGTCTCGTTGAAAGTACTAAAGCAAAAAAGATCATCTTCAACCAGCAAATCATTTTCGCATTTCTTTTTTGAGTAAATCGTGTGCTTTTTAATGGGTGAAAAAGATTAGAATCGTTGTATTAGCATGCTATCAAAAAACGTTGAAGAAAAACATAAATTCAGAGGCTTATCCAGGCTGTAGCTGAACTCAATGAAACCTTGCAGACTCGACGATTTAGATGAAAATGGAATTAAAAGGCAGAGGAATATTGAAAGCTAGCTGCAGCGCACACAACTAATTTTCAATATTTGTCTCGCACTTCATTTCGTAATTAGCGACCACAAGGTAACGACAAAATAATAATCCACAAGTCATTCGCAGCACACTTGCTACTATTGGCAGTATCTTCAAATGCAATATGAGAATAATATTTTCTTAATATGAGAGTAGCTCTCACCTTGAGCATGCCCTCCATGTCTAGTCGAAGCAGTTCAAAACGAGCTTGCTGTAGGATTGACATAGCGACACGAAATATAAACTCCAACCCCTGCAAAACAAATGAGTTTATGAAGATTGGATAAACACTCCAAGGCGCCTGCAGCTGAGTTTGTATAGATGAAAATATCAGATACAGTCTTCAAACAAACAAAAAATGGATTTAGAACATGTCTCAAGCAGTATGAAGAATTTTCTCGTAGAAAAGCGAAATTGCAATTCACCTCAATAAGAAAGCAATCCATAATACGATTGGCTATTCTAACTGGTAGACTGGTTGTAAACAGCGTGAGAAACCACGACGACGCATACATTGAAGTGTCAAAACCCATGTTGTTGAAATGGCTGTGTAAGTCCGGCATCTAAAAAGCCATCATGAAGCATCGAACAAGCTAATCTTCTCGTTGCTCTTACCTGTTCTTGAACAAGACACTCTAACTGGAACATGCACAAGCCGAGATCTGTCATGGCCGGCTTGTACAGCTCACGAAGACGATAATTCTCCATTAGGCGAACCAAAACTGCAAAAGCTTCTTCCTCCGGCATCTGAAGTTAAAAATAGTGTTTTCTAGAGAATCAACTAGAATTAAGCTAGAAGTGCTGACCTGCATCAATAACAATCCAACAATGAAAGCACTTCCTTGACAGTACCCGACTTCTTGATCATGGATGGAGTAGGCCTTGAAAAGAAATTGTAGGTGCTTGATAAGATGATGGAGCTCTGGGGCAGAGGTTCATAGGCAAGAGGCTAGGTTTATCAAAAAAAAAATCTGGGTTCTGCTTAATTGTAATCAAATTGATTATAAGACTGGTTTCAAAAAGCAGATTTAGCAAGGTCGATATAAAGATGTTGTATAGGGCGATCGGACTCGAAATTGTACAGAAAGACTGCTCGCTTAAACATCAGATAAAATTACCAACCTTTATTACATTAAAAAGGGAAGCCTGTCCCCTTCCACCGTCTTTGAAAAATTCTTCTTCAGGATATGTACGCGAGATGTCTCGTTGTATGACCTGAAAATACTCGAATCAAATTTCAATAGCGAAAGAGCAGAACTACTCGGATAAATTCCAGTCAAAACTGATCTTAACAAATATATTTTTGTAATTATCAGTACAGCGTAGTTTAAAACATGTCTATTCATCACATCTCATTTACGCAAGGTGCACGGCTGGTTGAATGAGGCTGGCAGAAATTATGTACACAGCAGTTGGCTAAATCCACAATATGAGCAGAATTCGCAACAAGGATGGAAGTGAATTGCAATTTTGATACATTAACTCGGAATAAAGACCGAAGGAACAGATAAAAAACAAAGAGAGATAACTTTACACAAGCCATAGACGACCACAGAGACCCGTACATGCCACTAGGACACTGCAAAGCTGAGAATGGGAGCAAAGTCAACAAAAACACATCGTTTGTTCAAAAAAATTGGTACAAAATTTTCCGGTGTAACGTATCACATTTTCGTGACGGCTCAAAATCATTTCCTTCTTTCAACTTGCTGGGCACAGCTCACGGGCAGAAGTAAAAGATAAGATTGAGGTTATAAATCTTGAGACAAAACTCTTCTGAGCACCTAATTAACCTTTTCGGTGAAAAGCGACAGGACCATGGAGTGGTAAGATAAAAAAAAGAACTAGGATGTAGATGTTACGCTTCATGTTCTACAAGTAAGATGGAATCTGATGCCATATAGTACGCATGCTTGTCGCTAAAATTAACACACCGAGGGTATCATCTTTTGAAATTCGTTTTCCCCTGATATCAAAGCAAAGCGATTGGATGACACTTGATGTAATTCAGTTTTTGCACTAAAACTATTGATAATCCTCTTAGATGTAGTCTCAGATATCACCGGTAAGTCTTATTTATTGGTTATCATGTGCCTCCTACGAAAAACATCGATAGTGTAAGCATAATACATTCTACCGAAATTATAACTCCCGGTTTTGAACGCAGTTTTTAAACTATGAATTCAAACTAAAGCTACGTTGCAGAACTGATGGAACATATAAATTTAGACCAGAGTGCACGCGCTTGCACCTACACCCACCTTAGTAAGAAGTTTTGTTGCAAGAAACCCTTCCAAAAACCCTGGGTAGAGTGAACTAAAGTTGCTTTTATAGCTGCGTGGTTAAAAGAGCTGACTGGCCATTAGCGAAGATAAGGGCAAAGACAGATCGTGGTTGTAAACTCTAAAGCTCTGCTATTGTGTGAGACTTGATAAAGATTAATTAATTGAAAAAAAATATGAAAAAGCCTATGAGACCAATGACCAACAAAAAAATTCAAAGTACTTTTGAATAGCCAAGAACGGAAAAAACTCATATGGGCGGCTGACAGAAGACAGTATTTGTAACATTTTTTTTCGAAATCTGCTAGCAAGTATGATGGAAAAATAAAAAGCGTTGATGCTTCGATTGTGCAAAAGATGCTATTCTGCGCTGAATGGAAAAGAGCAACATGGAATAATGAACGGGTTGCATTCCACGCTTTAGACAAGCGACAGCACCGCACAACGAAAAGAAAAGCGAAGACTCTAAGCAAAAAATGCACGAATAATTGAAAGCGAGACTAAATGTGGACAGATATGTTCCATAATGAATGAGCAAATTCAATTAGGACGCTTGAAAGAAAAAATATTATCATAAGTGTACAAATAGTTTTCTAAGTAATGGGCAAGACCATACCTTTTCATAGACAGATGACTGCCGCATATAGTCCGCATATACCTCATGGATAGAGGAAACGGATGCATTTGACAATAGTTGCCATGCTATAGTGCGGAAATGTTGTGGTATGCCGCGTTTTACCAAAGTCTAAAAATTAATTCAATCAGCAAAGTACAACATGAGGAAGAAAAGTAAATATAAGGCTTTATCCACAAACTGCTATTTGTGTGATTGCAGAATGAAAACTACCTTGATAGACGTCGGTTTTTTCTTGACTTCTTCTTCCCAGTTACATACAACTTTATTCCATACACTCCAGAGGTCCTCTTCTTCATCTTCTGCCAAACTTGGCTCATGCCCTCCTTTTGGACTTCCACTGGAGCCACTTTTTCGGGATGCCAGACTCCTGGTATCCTCCTCATTTGACCTAAATAAAACACCGGATGTGATAACAGCGTACACGATTCATGGCCTTATCTCATTTATAGATTGCATGAATGAGTGCAAATTACGCTTGCTTTTTCAGTTCTCAACAATCGGGGTCGTCAGAGTTGACTTCTAGTTTGAGATGTCTAAGCAAGGATGATTCCCCAGTGATTTCGCGCTGGACAATGACAATTTGCGGGAGCCGAGAAACTTGTATAGAGTTAGAACAATGAAGACAGTAAAAAATCCAAGAAAAGTCACAGGAAATCATAGAAAGTTCAAAAAACATTATTCAGAGAAAAGGCGAAAAAGAACATGTTCAGATTTCAAAGGGCAAAATCAAGAGGTACTTCTTCAATTCAAACCTGCTCAGATAAGGAAGATGAAAGCACAGAATTTGAGCAAAGACCATCATAGCATAGCGGCTCTGAACAAACAAAAACGGAGAACTTCTGACCTATTGAGCTGTTCCATTTTGGCGAGGACATCAACTTCAGGACTCGAGAGCCCTGTGTCACAGCAGGGTGGCGACAGTGTCTCGGAGTTCGTGTCCGTTGGTCCTGAAATGTAAGCAAAAAGTGAGCTGATAAGGAGGTGACGAGGTCACACTGTGAGATAATTTTGTAAATTGACCTTGGAATGCGGCTGTCAGCAAACATATGGTAGGCTATAAAATTCTGGTTGGCGAGAAAGAGTCTTTGAACATGAATCAGAGAAGATTTGACAAGTTTAGAAAGAAGAGAAATCACGGAACAGAAGCTCAATCAGGCGTGCAGAAGAGAGAATGCGATATGAGGGACAACGAATGATTGATGAATGCCGTCATTTGTACGGAGAAGCATGAGCTTATGTCAGCGATTCACAAGTCAGAATTGAGGGCGGAAAAGAGGCCCGAGAACTGCGAAATTCCCGGAGTCGCAAGCCTCTGCTGACTGCGGAGGTTGGTACAAGGAACGCGAATGTCTTATAATGAGGCAGTGCGGCCTTGCGCAAGGCTCAATAACTCCATCCATTGCTAATTTCTGTGTGTGTGGGGGAGGCCGAAATGTGTCTTCACCTTCATCGCTATGAATTGATAATTTCGAGAGCTGTGACCACGTTGCGAAAACAAATTCCGCCGAAAGTTACGACGGCGTAGACGTAGAGAAATCGCAGTGAGCGGTAAGAAGCATGAAACAGTGAGATGCGCTGAGGGATTACGGAGTTTCCGCTGCCCGTCACTAATAAAACACACAGCAACCAAACACGGCGCAGCGGATCGATCGATACGATGGCGTCACAAGGACATCAAAACCACGGTCCGGCAATACCGGACGGCTATCGCCCCCTATCCGAACTTGGCTCGTACCGTACCGTACTTCCACAGCTGTGGCTACAGTACTCAGTAAGTGCAAAAACACAACTAGGACTACGCTAGAGGAGACAGCAAGCAGCAATTCGCGACCGTCAGCCCGCTCTTCTCACGATGATCTGGTTCGCGGTCGTGTTTTCGAGTTATTCTGCGGCTTAAACGTCTGCTAATTGCTGAAGTAGTTACTACGAGCGTTTCCCGCACTTGTACTCGAGTTGTTAGAGTCCTTTAAGTGTTTTTTTTTGCAGCGTTAGCAAAACTTTCTTGCGATTGTCTAAAACTCTACAAATTCCCTCTATTTTTTCGTTATAACTTTTGGCACCTGTGACTTCTATACTGAAGTCGTCGCCACCATTGTGTGTAAGTGCACTACCCCTAATTTACGTTACGGCATCACTTAGCTCGCAGTTTACGGTCAGATTTCATATGATAATGTGTGTCATTGCATGTCCATCTTTGGCGTTCCCATCCTGGATTCGGGAATAGACACTTTTTCAGATAAGCTGCGTCTTCTGTTTGTTTTCTTTTCCCTCAACTAGTCTCCTTGAAGTAATGTAGCTGATAGAAATCGGTCGGGTTCTTGTGTTTTGATTGCGAGAACAGGATGAGGGTGCAATTTTTCCCGCGCAAGTGGTGTCGCCACCGCATGGACAACTAACGCACTCAAAATCTACCCACTTACACATGAAAAGTCTAATCACCTGCAGTTATATACACATATTGTGTACTACAACTTTCAGCGAGCTTTATGTCCACAGTTGCTGCGCCGGCACAGTTCTCTTGCTATTCGCACCGCGATCATTTGTTTGCACACTTTTCTCTGCTTCCTTCCTTGTTTTCATTCATTTTAGTTCGTCTTGTACTCATAAACGATTGAAACTAGGCCACAATAACAGCAGCGCGGATTACTGTGCTGTTGTGAAGCGAGAGGAATCCGAGACCGTATCCATGCATATATCCAAAGCATCCCACCGAGGTGTCAGAAGAGGAGATTAGTAACGAAGATATTGCTTTTTGCAAAAAGTGAAGGCTAGTCCCGGACGAAAGCTGATGTCCACACGAGGTAGGCGCAGGCGGACGCGGCGCGAGTCGTGACCGGACGCCACCGTGTGCATTTCATGCGCCCCAGCGATGATATCTGCTCGGCCGCCGCGTTTGCGTCCGCCTTGCGACATAACATCTACTTTCGTTCAGGACTAGCCTTTAGATACCCTAAAAATGGTCTTGGTGTTGGATTTCCTAAGTTGTTACAATGTAAAATTTTGTGGAAGTTTTTCACTATATCTAAAATAGCGTCATTACACCGTAAACACAATGGTCATCCTTAAAACTGTTAAATCTAAACTCTAGTTTAAATAGGAGGATCAAATGTCATCGTACATTGTGCGTTTCAGCTTTTTCCATCCTAATCTTGCCAGTATTTTTCATTATGATTTAGGTTTCACGAATTGGTTTTATTTCTTTTTCTGCTCGTAATTCTTTCCAAATTATTGATGGCTTCGCTTGTCCATCGTTGTATGCATTGGCTTTTGAATTCATTTCTTCCAGCGAGCTGCCGTCATTCATTTCAGCACTATACAAGCTATTGAGTGAGTTATAGAATATGAACGGCGGAGGGCCTACTTCACAATAAAAATGTAGGGGATGGAGACATGCTACAAGCCCGAAATTCTAAGAGAAACGCCCAAGAAATTCGTTTCAAGAAGCTAATTTGAATTTTAATGGAGTTTGAAATTCTTCTTAATTAATTACAGCTAAAAACAACTCTCTTGCACATCTGACTCCCAGCAGTCGTTTTAGCACTAAAAAGTTTGTTTATCACTTTTTTCACTAATGGCTTGAACATATGAATCGGCTTATGTTGATAAGAACCACAAGAATGTCTATGAACATTGTTTGGCTTTGAAAATCTAATAATTGCCTTTCTTTTCACGAAGCTAGCAATTCCTATGTTATCGAAGCGCAGCCTTAGCTTTTACTGCCAGGTAAAAAAAGCTACGTAAAAATAAGTGATATTCTTATAAACAATATGTTCAAGGGACCATTTTTTTACAGGGGAAGGATACTCGATCGCAGTGACGATTGGGCAAGCGTTATATACCGCGTATACCGTCCCTAGGAGCTGAAGGATTTTGCAAAAACGCAGAACCCCCGGCATCCAAGGAGAATCGAACCCACGACACCTATCCCAGCAGTCCAAGCCACTATCCACTGCACCAATACACCACATCAGTGATGAAGCAAGTCCAGTACTTAAATGCCTGCAGCACCAAAATTTTTCTTATAGCTCTTCCAGAATGACGTCATAGCAGGTATGGAGTGCGGTTTAGAGATCACTGTCTGAGGACGGTATACGCGGTATACACCGCTTACCCAATCGTCACTGCGATCGAGTATCCTTCCCTTGTTAGGCAGATCCGGGATTATAATTATGTTCATAACGAATGCAACTCGAAGAATGTAGTCGTATTGTCACAACGAAAAAAAAATACGATGATGCATTCAACTTTTGCTCGAAGTGTCGTACTTCTATCTGTATCTTCTTTTCCATCAATTTTTTGTCACTAAATAATAAAAGATAGACTTGTGCAGCTCAGTCAGCAGATGACAAATGGCATATGAAGAAAAACTTTCGATAGCGAATGAATGCTCGGCCTGCATACGAACCTTGAGTGGGAAACGTTTCTCTTGTTCACCTTGATTGACGACCTTGTCTTGCCAAAAGTGCATATGTTTTTAGTTAAAGACTTAAAGAAAAGTTGTGAAACGAACTGGCACACAGATTGTGCTTTGTGCTGGCCTAGAAACTGAAGAAACTTGGATATATTACAGCTGTACGCCTGTTAACTTGCTAAAATCATTTTTTTTGTAGACTGGCAAAGTTGAGAGCAACTAATTGTTTTTAGGGGGAAAAACTATAGGATCTTCGAAAAAGCCTTGCGGATTTTGCAACTCAAAATAATTGTTCTTTAAGAAAGAAGAATTTATGAATCTGTGAATGTAATAGTCTGATAAATTACTTCATTTTGTTAGAAGCTTTATTGTTTAGAAAAATATCAGTTTCTCATTTCGCAATTCTCATGAGAAAGAAATTGTTATGTTCAAAAAAAAAATCGCATTCTAATTTTTGTTAAAATGATGCCTGTTCTCATTTTGGCAGTAATCAAATTTGGAGATAATGTAGCAAAAATTGTGCTGAATCAGAATTGGCTGGAATTGCACACAATTTTTTTTTCAGTTTTGAATTTGAATGAAATCAAGTTAGGCAAATTCAATCCTAGGAGGACTTTGTGAACTTGTTAATATCCTCTGAAGACTCATCTTACACAGCTGTATTCAATTTATGCGTAGATAATTGATACGAAGATGTAGTCCATTAGAAAACCGGATAAGATATTAACAAAGTAAAAGTACATACATTTCGCGGCGATTTGAAGACTTCTGTGCTTTACAGCAAGTAGATGGAGTAAATTGAGCATATTACGTCTACTAACAGAGTACATGATTTGAAGGATCAAGATTAGGAAGAACCCATGATAAAAGAAATCAAAGAATAATAGTTTACCTTGTTCACTGTAGTGGCGAACTGCCGTTGCTGCCGCCATCTTCGGCGTCGAGCATGGAGGAGAAATCACAGAAGTAGGAGTGAAGAATTGAGGGTATGAATGGCTTTGTCTGAAAAATTTGCTAAATTTTGCTATGGCGAATGTGATGTCAGCGATGAAGATACGGAGGTGCGTTTATGATATATAGTCCAGCAATTCTGTGGATAGAGTATGTACTTACGGTGCTGGCTACAATTGCGCGTAAAAAATGGCTGTGGTTCGCAAACCTTGAAAGTGTGCGCTTTGTGGCCACTTTTCCACCCATGTCACCACTGCAGGGGCGCTACATTATCAGCGCGAAATTTACTAAAGTAAATGCATACAGTGTGATACGATAAGGAGGTCTTGTGTAAATATAATAAGTTGGACTATTGTAAGAAAGATATTGGAGCACAGAAAGTGAACACTTTGGGAGGGCTGGCGATTTATCTGATCCGACAGATCGGCTTTGGGGCGAACAATCGCCAGTGGAGATGATTTGGCTACTTCCGCGTTTTCTCCTGTTTCTGCTAGTTCATCGCTCAGCACGTGACTCTTTTATCAGTCTTAATTAGGCAGCTTATGAGGAAAATTAGTAAAACATATCGATTTTAAAATATCGATTTCGCTTGATAAGGGAATTATGACCGCTATTTTCATGCAATGTTGCTTTGTTCCTTAGCGTTTTTATTATTTTGAAATATTTTTTCAAAGAAGTAATAAAACTAGCGTAGTTCAATAGGACCCCTCCCACCTACGACGTTTATTCTCAAAGAATGGCTACAAGACACATTTTTCACGTTTTGCGCGTCATTTTTCCGCGCAAGTGTTGTCGACACCGTTGCGGCACAAATTTGACTGTCAAAAGTCTCAGTTTCATATAGAACTTATAAATCATCTCTACAAGCTGATCCTAGAGTTTGTAAGTTGTATTGGTGATAAAGCTTTTATTCCGAGGTGTTTTTTGAAAAAAAAACAGTAAAAATTTATATTTGAGAAATCCAACCGGTTTCAAGCTGGAGTCTTTGAAAACAGGATGATTGTCCGTCTCTAATCCTAAGCCTGTTTAGAAGAACATGACGCGATAAAATTTTGCAGGCTTGAAGATTTTGAGAAAAACCACCTGCTTCCTCTCTGCCCAGAAAAACCTGGACAAGTTTTATAGAACCATTTCTTTTGGAACCAAGCTTAACTTTCAAAAATAATAGCTTAAAATTTCTCTCACAAAACGAAAGCTGTTTTGAGATTAAATATTCTAGCAATGGCCGGCAATTGCGTGCTCCAATTCTGAACAGTTGCGTGTCATTTTAGATCCACATGCATTAGAAGTCAAGCAGTCTTTAGCTGGATAAAATGACCTATTAGAGGTCTAAAGTCAGCTAAAGAGTTGTCAGAATTGTCAAGGTCAGAGCTAGGTTTTATGAGTTAATGGTTCGAAGACCTTTCGAGACTGCAATTTAACAAAAATCTGGTGTGCAAAAAGTTGTTCTAAATTTCTTTTTCCACAAACAACAAACTATTGGGTTTCTGTTTTAGATTAGAGTTTTCTATGGCAGAATGATAGAATCTGCTCAGCAAAATATGTGATAGCGACAATGACAGAGATTTTATCGTTGAGAGTTGAAGATAATAGAAAAAAAATAAAATTTCTTTCAAATAAGAAAAAATTATTGGATACCCTGCCAGTAAACAAAAAAGGTAGTGCAACTCAAGCCAGAAGCAAATCTTTTGGATAAGAAAACTGGAGAATTTTTACATGAAATCAAGCAAAATGGAAAGAAAAAGGCTTCCCCCTCTTTTGAATTTCTCCAGGTGAATTTTCTGCTACCTCACCAATAAGGACGTAGGGAAGAATCTAGACGTAAGTATTTGTGCGCTATTTCTTCCTTGAACACTATAGTTCCAAAACCGGTTCAACCTAGCCGCTCAAATGGGTGCAAGTACGTTTTCCTCCTGCAAAAGGAACGCACTTATCTGGCAAGTTTTCGTTTTACTCAAGCACTAGCGCTCAAGGTTGGGCAAAGTTTGGGAGATGGTTCTTGAGCAAGGTGGTTAGCTATTTAGGAGGTCTTTTCTGGCGCAACAATAGAAATGAAAAAACGTTTTAGGTGATAATTTGCTGTATTGAAACGTAAAGGCAATACCATATCATGCTGGATCACCAAAAAAAAAACTCGATTCTATAAAAAAGGTTTAGATAATAGTGTAATAACGGTAAGTGAAGAAAGCTAAGATTTTATTATTTGTTTCAGTATCTGTGGGCCTGCTACATATAAAATCAATAATAAATTGTATGTGCTACGTTTTCACTCCGTTTCGTTCCTTCCCTTGACAGAGTTTGACTTGATTACTAGGTCTTCCCCGGAACTCCTCGGTAAGGAAGAAGCTGGTATTTAGAAAATTGTATCATGGTTAACTAGAATACTTAAGTTAAATTTATATAAAATTTGTTATTAAGTATTAAGCACAGTTAGGAAGAGTGATGTAAGTAGCTAAGATTGAGGAGAATATAAAGAATAGAAAAGGAGAGAATTCCGACAATTCGGACACTTCTTGACGATGGAGCATATGAACAAAACAAATAGTAAGAACAATACCAAGTGGGATAAAAACAGTATATATGAGCAAAAATGATAGTATAACGAGGATATAGCTATAGTAATACTTCCAACGGTTGAAAATAGACAAACTGCTATTCCTATCACAACTTTGATGTCACCTGGACCGACTGCCCCATATTTTAGTGAGTCATGATGGGTGATGAGTCGTAATGGCGCTTCCGCAAATAAAAGCATCATGGATAACAATTGGAATCAAACAGGTGAACTATCGAAAATTTTCCAAGACATTAATGCTAGGCTCGAATTTGTGAATGTTGAATTTGGCTTGTATAATATGTGATAGAAGGGTTCCCTTAGGAATCACAAACTGCAAAGAATTGCAACAAATGGGACAAGCCGTAATCCCGACGGAGTATTTTTGGGTTTTTGCAAAATTAATGAAAACATGTATAAATTTGTTGTGAGTTGATGGAAAAGCGAGATAGATAGAGCTCTTTGAGGACAGGTGAAATGTTGATATATCTGAAGCTTGAAACAGATTCAAACAAGGAATGGAGGATAGGGATGGAGAGCAAGTACATAAGGTGTCATTTGATTGACAATGCCATAACAACTTATTAAACCATAAAAATCCGTGTTTTGAAACTACATTTATTCAAAATAATGGTGTTCAATAATTGTGGTATGAACTATGTTGACTGTGAAGTTATAAAACAGTTCAAAAAAATCAGGTTGTTCCAGAAGTTCTGTACAAAATTTTTAACCTTATCTCTCAACGAAGTTGCTCTCTTCGTTTTTTTTTGTTTTCAACCAGGCGAAAATTCAAAAATCAGAAATTACAAAAGTATAACTTAGTGAACAATGTCGTGAAAAACAAACTTTTAGCGTTTATTTTACTAAATTCAGATCTGGCAGCAGTCTAGCGTCAACAATTTACGCGTTCTTTGTTGGTATAGGGACCGGATGTGTTGAAGCACTTACTTAGGGATTTCTAAAAAGTTGAAATGTTTATTCAAGGAATTTGAAATCGCGGCTGATTTTGGTGTCCTGGCATCCAGACTGCCAAGATTTGATAGTTTTTCAAGAAACCAAAATTCAACTGAATTTTTACAGCAAACTAAAAATTCTCAAACCAAGAGTCTGCAAGAACTAAACCAAAACAACTTTGCAAGAAGCGTACAAGAGGAAGTCAAGGCGAGCGTTGGAACGGAAGGAGAAGGATGTGACCTCGACGAGGTGAGGACCTTGAACAAGACGTTATGTAGAAGAAGCGAAGGTAATCCATCCAAACCCGTTCTGCCCCCTAAAAGCGACAAATTGAAGCTGCAAATGCTAAAGGTTTGTTGGTGAACGACCTTGCCCAGTTCCTGGACACATACATTGCGCCGTTTGGATGGGAAATTGTAAGAATTCATTTTTTGTGATATCCGGTTTTTATGGGCTTGTCATAATTGAACTTTTCAGTATTGCAACGTTTTTTAGTAGACGGTTTGTTTCCTTAGAGTTCTTTTACGCTCATGGTTTAGGGTAAAGGGGACTTCGTAAAATTTGGGGAAAGTCAAGGGGAGTTGGTTTTTTGCATTTTCGGAAAGCCATCTCGTGCCGAGCACTGTTTTTACAATAATTAAGGTTTACCAAGTAACTTGTACAACCCAAAGACCACTCGGTTTGTGAAACTAGAACTTATTGGTAAAATGAGATCCTTCTTTTGCAGCTTTAAGCGCAGCTGTTTTCGTCTATAAAATAGCAGTGACCAAGCATCTGAATTTTGCTCAAATTGAGGCGATCTACGAAATTTTTTTTCGGAAAACCCGCTAGTAAAGTGCAAGGAAAAAAGCTAAGAACAACGGAGCGATTTGCACCGTTTTTGTTTGAAGAAACAAGGTTGCGCAGAGTTAGAAAAAGTAGTCGACCTTAGTTGTTTAGAAGAACTTGCTACGACTACATCTGTGATAATATTGACAAAACAATACAATACGCAGATCTGCAGCAAGCTCTAAGACTATTTATTTTACGGTAGAACAGATTAAACTTTAAAGATAATAAAAAGTGCAAAGTGAAGTAAGTAGATTGCTGTCAAAATTCTTGAGAATTTAGAATAGATAAGTTTCTGAATGAACTTCCATGGTTCGACGATAGAATCACACGCTGACCCAAATAGGAGTCAAGATGCATTGATAATCCTCGCTCAAGAAGTGAACCACTTTCTTTTAATTCAAAAACAGGGACGAAGAAAACATGTATGTAGATTGGGGCTATGCATTTAATATACTCCAAATATATGGATACTTACAAAATTTTTGGATTTTATTTGAATTACATCAGAGCTGCTCCAAAGAAAACTCAAACTCAAACCATTACTTTGAACACAGGAGCAGAAAAGAGGTTTGTAGACTAAAACTGTACCTGTGACTAAAACCACATTTTCATTCAAGTAAGGTTGCAAAAATCACCAATTTTCACTATTTACTGCAAACAAGGAACAAAAGCTGAGATTAATCAATACGCCACACAATTCATTAACTGTAGAAGACTCTTCCTCTACTTTTAGACAGTTGGAAAATGCGGCTCCATACAGATTCAAAAATTAGAGCATTACTGATTGTTGAGATCCACTGATTGAGGAAGCTCTTTTTCCATGCTTTTACTATGAAACACGAAACACTGAATGAGAAAATATACTATGAAAGTCACAATTATTTTCTGGAACGCCGTTCCCGTCTTTCTCGCGAGAAGTGACGAAAATTCATAGAATTTTCTTGCAGTAA